CATTCGTATTGATGACAACACAGAGTCAGACGAGAGTTTGCAAGATTAGCTGTTATCATTGACTTGAATAAGCCGCTCACATCATAAATTTAAGTTGATGAAGAGATCATCTATGTAAAGTATGAAGGTCTTTCACTAATTTGCTATGACTGTGGACGCTACAGCCATCTCGAAAATAGTTGCCCAGAAAAAATGGAATCCTTGACGAAGCATCGGCAGCCTTCAGTGATCTCAGATCCTCCGATCACCATAGCCATTTGTAAGCAGACCAAGTATGGTGAGTGGATGCACGCGCCAAAGCCCAGGCATAGGTACATTAGGTATGATAGGTTTGATGGAGGTCAGAAACGTGACGAGGTTGTTATTAGCAATGGCATAGCAATGTCCTCAAGGTTTGAAGCACTTTATATGGCAAAAGACAGAGAGGATCAAGGGCACAAAGTGTGCGACTATCCTAAAACCGTTACTAATGGGGAGGCCTCATCTTCACGATGTAAACTAAAAGAGACAAAAGTCTATAAAAAAAAGTAGACGCAGGACAACAACAAAAGGATAGCCATGGGACCATTCCTAATAAAGAATGCATTTTCAACACTGCTGCCTATAAAGCCGTTCAAGCTCCCACATCATTGGATAAAGCAAATAATCAAGTCATTATTATGTATGACGAAAGAATTCACTTGAGAATCCAACTAGACTCAAGCCATCTTTCATATTTAGGCCATCTTGATGTAACACAAGCCCATTTAATGTTTAATGGCCAGACAAAGCCTCAGCCTAAGCCTCCTAATCCACGTACCTCAGCTAAAGGCATTCCACTCTCCTCTTGGCTTCAAATTCATAACTTCAAGGACAAGCCTAAAGGGAATTCTTCTAGCCTTTCAGTCAAATTATTGAAAGAAATCGCATGAGGTCTTCAGGAGAAAGACCCCCAGATGGTTAATGATGAAGACATAGATATGTTGGTTGAAGAAGTTGATTTTAGCTCGGCTTCTGAGCACTAATTAATTTGTTTTATGTCTATTTTTACATAGAATTGTCAAGCATCCTTTAATAAAAGGTTCCTATCTACCATGAAATCTTTTATTGCTTGCAATAAACCTGACATTTTTATTATTATTGAACCTAGAATCTCAGGAGTGAAAGCTGATAAAGTCATCAAAAGACTCGGTCTTCCTTTTTCCCATAGAATTGAAGCTTTGGGATTCTCTAGAGGAATTTAAATTCTTTGGACAGATAAAGTTAAAGTTAATATCATAGCTAATCACTTCCAGTTTGTACATATGGAGATTTGTTTCATAAAAGACAAAAGCAATTTTTTCTTCACAGCAATTTATGGAAGCCTAGGTGCTTGTTTTTGAAAATTCCTTTGGCAAGATCTATCCAATGTTGCTCCTCCCTCTAATCTTCCTTGGCTTATGGTCGAAGATTTTAATGCCATTTTACATAGTGATGACCGAATTGGGTCTACTAGAAGAAAAATTAATAGATAACTGGCTTTTTAAATCCTTCATATAGAACATTGGGCTCATTGACATGGGCTTTAATGGCCCAAAACATACCTGGCAAATGGGTACACTCATGATACGCTTGGATAAGGCTCTTTGCAATCAAGCCTAGCTTGGTCGCTACAATTCTAATTGGGTAGATCATCTCTTAAAATTTTGTTTAGACTATAGGTCCATTTTGATTCACTTGGGATTATGTAAGCCTATACCCCATAGCAAACACTTCAAGTTCTTAGCTTGTTAGGCTTCTCATCCAGATTTTCCTAATTTGGTTCAAAAAAATTGGGACCCAAATCATGATTCAGCTCACAATATTCAAGTCTTTGCATCTAAGGTCTTTACCTGGAATAAATCCATTTTTGGTGATATTAGTAAAAGGAAGAGGAGATCGCAAGTAAGGATTCTGGGAGTGCAGTGAAAATTAGAATCTTCTCCTTCATCACCTTTTTCTCCTTGATCTTGATATTCATTTAAGGGAAGAATTTGAGGAAGTTTGCCTTCAAGAGGAATTGCTATGGCTTCAAAAATCTTCCACGAACTGGGTTTGCTTGGGAGATCGTAATACCTCCTTATATCATACTCAAGCACTTATTCGCCAACATCAAAATAGAATCACTTAGCTTAAATCTAATGATGGGTCCTAGATCACGAATGAACTCTCACTTTTAAATATGGCTCGAAGCTATTTTAGCAATTTGTATACTATTAAGGACCCCATTTTCACGCCTTATCTAATTAAAGGTATGTTCCCAAAACTTTTGAACTCCTCCTTTTTTGGATTGGCTAAAATTATCTCTTATGAGGAAGTTAAACAAGCCCTATTTGCTATGAAACCACTGAAGGCTTCTGGAGCTGATGGTCTCAACCCTTTTTTCTTTCAAAATCAATGGGATTTAGTGGGGTATAGTGTTTTCAACTTCGTTAAAGATCTTTGGCTTGGTAAACCTCTTGACCCCTGGCTAAACAAGACACTAATTGCTCTCATTCCCAAAGTAAATGTACCATAACATATGAGAGACTTTTGCCCAATTAGCCTTTGTTTAGTACCATACAAAATTATCACCAAGGTTATTGCTAATCGTATAAGTAAAATTATGCCTTCAAGTGTGATGCCTTATCAAACTAGTTTTGTGCAAGGTAGAAACATCATTGATAATATCATCATTACCCAAGAAGTTGTGCACTCCATGAGGAAAAAGTCAGGTCATAATGGTTGGATGGCCATTAAAGTGGATTTAGAAAAAGCTTTCGATAAGTTAAGATGGGATTTTGTTGAAGAAACTCTCAATGATGTGGGGCTGCCTGGGGTTACGGTAAACTTAATCTTGAATTGTATTTCCACCCCCTCTATGCAACTAATACAAAATGGTAAGCCTGCGAGCCCCTTTTATCCTAAGAGGGGTATTAGACAAGGGGATCCCTTATCTCCACTTATTTTTTTGCTTTGTATGGTGCGACTCTCACAAGCAATCATGACTAAAGTAAACAAAGATAATTGGCATCCTATCAAACTGGGCCAGAGAGGAGTTTCCCTCTCACATCTTTTCTTTACAAATGATTTAGTTCTCTTTAGTGAAGCTTTTGAGATTCAAGTCAAAATTATTGACAGAGTCTTACAATAATTTTGCATATCCTTAGGACAAACTATTAGTCAAGCCAAAACCCAGATTTATTTCTCAAAAAATATGGATGATCGCACTTGTAATGCAATCTGCAACAAACTAGGCTTTAAGAGAACTGATGCTTTAGATACCTTGGTGTGCCTTTAATCAATGGCAGAGTCACCACTAGAACTTACAATTATATCCTTGAGAGGCTCTACAAAAAGTTAACTAGGTGGAAAAGTAAATCATTATCACTTGCTGGTAGAATCACTCTCACCAAGTCGGTTCTCTCTTCTATACCCTTTTATACCATACAAAGTGCCAAATTACCATCTTCTAGCTGTTTAGCTATTGAAAAACTTATCAAAAAATTTGTTTGGGGTTACACTAATGATCATCATGGAGTTAATCTTGTAAGATAGAAAGAAGTATGCCAATTGTTATTCAATGGTGGTATCGGACTCACTGATATTAAAGCACAGAACAAGGCTTGTCTCTCCAAATTAGCCTACCAAATAGTTGTTAAGCCTAATCTGTTTTGGGTCTAGGTCTTAAGAGGTAAATATGGCATTAAAGGCCTTACCCCCTACTTAAAGCATAAACGTAAACCTTCTTATCTCTGGAAAAATATCTCTGAAGTTTGGGGGGACACAATGATGCATGTTAAGTGGAACCTAAGCAGTGGGAAACAAATTTGGTTCTGGAGCGACTTCCGGATCGACGACTCTGGGCCTCTTAACCTTCTCTCATATGTTGATATTGATCAATTTGCAAAATCGAAACCAATCTCAGATTTTATTGATGAATATAGGCAATGGAAATGAAATTTGTTTCAAGACTTCCTTCCCCAATCTATTCTATGTGAGATCAAGGATTATACTATTGACGTCAATAGTACTAATTAGCCTTCTTGCACATGGCACTTAACTTCCTAAGGTAATTTTACTGTCAAATCTGCTTATATAGCTTACCAATCTTTGAACTAGAACAATCAAGATGAAAAATGGAAACTTATTTGGAAGTTGCCTATCGCGCAACGAGTTCAAACCTTTATCTGGCTTTTGTTCAAAGGTAAACTCCTCACTAATGCAAAGAGATTTCGAAGAAAGATGACCCAAGATCAAGGATGCAATCCCTACAAGTTACCTTGTGCTATTGAAAGCATTAATCATGTCTTCAAAGATTGGTCATTTTCTGATCACGTTTGGAGGAAAATTATGCCAACGGACATTTTCAAAGAATTTTCTAAAGCTAATATTGACGTTTGGCTGCTTAACATTTTTCAGTCCCCTCTTCTTGGCAACTCTTCAAAAATAGGAATCAGAAGTGTTTGCTGGAAACTTTGAAAAGCTACAAACCTTCGGATCTTCACTGATGCTGACTTCACTGTGGACTCTTTCCTTGTCCAAATCAGAGCCATTGTTAACGTCACAATTAAAGCCCTTACCACCTTTAAGTCTTTGATGTAATCTTGTTCTATCTTTGATTCTTCAATTTTGTACGGTGTTCTTTCAAGCCAATGAAATCCCCTTTTCACTCGGGGAAAAAAAATGAGTACGCACATCTTACAGCTTTTCAGTCATTACATCATTTATTGCGAGGGGCTGGTTGGTGGAAGTCACTTTGATTTCCCTCCAATATTTTAATGCCCCTCTCTTATGGTCACAAACCCAAGCCACTGTAGCATTTTCATTTTGGGAAGTCAATTAGTTATATCTAGTAAATCAATGAGCTCAAAGGCGAATTAATGTAATTAGAGACTTGCAATGTGATTAACTATTCTTTTGGGTCATTTTGTGGCAGAGGAACTCAGCTTGACTTTTTTTTTTTTTTTTTTCGGCCTCCAAGATCTATGACCTTATCATGCTGTGTCGTTTTGGATTTTTGTAGCTCTGCAGTCTCCAGTCTTCCCCGTTTCGGTTTCACTGACAGCTCCATCTCGGACTTTCGGAAACAGAGAGTGGCAATTCCGTTATTGTTTCCGAAGCTATGGCTGGTTTCCTCATGTTCCTCTCGTAGTAGAGAATCAGAACCCCACTCCGGTGAGTCCTTCCTTTTGTTCCTTCTAAGTGAACTTGTCCTTACCTTCCCCATTCGCGGGCTTTTCCAATCCCCACCTTTGCCGACCCAGTCGGCGATCGCTGGCGATTTCTGTCCTCCTTGCTTTATCGGAATCTGCCGCCTGCGAGACTCCTCATTTTTTGATTCCCATGTGATCTCGATTCCCTGCTACCAGACGAAGCTGACGGATGGGTTGCGTGCTCGGAGTGGCAAGGGACGATGCAGGCCGCAGGGCGGGCTCCGGAGCTCGGAACCGTCGTGAGCAAAACTGTGCTGCTGACGGAGGTAATGCTGTTAGGGTTGGGAGCGAAGGGACAGCGAAGGAGAAGCAAAGGACTGGGCAGCACGGCGGCGAATTTGTTGATCAGTTCCCGGGACCGGAACGACGGAAACCTAGTCTTGATCCTTGCGCTCAAACCCAACAGGGGTGGCCATCTTGGTTGATGGCTGTGGCTGGCGACGCAATTCGAGATTGGGCTCCTCGGCGCGCCAACACGTTCGAGAAACTCGCGAAGGTGATCAGAGAGATTGACTTTATTTCTGTGATTGCCGAATCTCTTTTCCTTCTTCTTCTTCTTCTTCTTTTTCGCAAATTGAAAGTTTAAGAGTGTTAGAATGCATTTTTTGTGTCTTGGGTTTTCAGATTGGACAAGGGACGTATAGCAATGTATATAAAGCGAGAGACCTTCTTACCGGAAAGACAGTAGCTCTAAAGAAAGTTAGGTTTGATAATCTGGAGCCAGAGAGTGTGAAGTTCATGGCGAGAGAGATTCTTGTTTTGAGGCGGCTTGATCACCCAAATATCGTGAAACTCGAGGGCTTGGTTACTTCTAGAATGTCATGCAGCCTTTACTTAATATTCGAGTATATGGAACATGATCTTGCTGGGCTTGCTGCTGGGCAAGGTGTTAAGTTCACTGAGCCTCAAGTACGACAATTTTAAGCTCAAGTTTGTTCGCTGTGATAGTATTTCCCATCTGATTGGGTTTTTTTTTTTTTTTTGTGCCTTTTAGTTTGGGCATACTAGCTATAGTTGAGCTTTCATCCTTCGGTGGTGTTGTGATTTTATAGTGTTTTAGGTTAACATTTTGTTTCCTTGCTAAGTTTAGACTCGACTCCTATATTATTTTCAGTGATTATCAGTATGGGGTGTAGGTGTTTGATGTTGCTCTGAGATTTCTGGGTTGTATTGGGTCCCATGCATTGTTCTATACATGTTTTGTTTAGGTATTTTTCATATCCATATGATGCGTAAAGATTTTGGTATGATGCTTTTTAGTTACATTCCTCCTTAATGCAACTGTATTGAAAGTTCCTCTGACATATGCCTCCATAAAGCAAGGTCATTTAACTTTTACTTTATTTATTAGGATGTGAGTACTGAGTACTGAAATGAAGGAACTTTCCTCCTCTTTGTCAAGAACGTCTGCAGTTCTATATCTACAAATACTGATACAAGGTGCCTAATTGGATATTGAATTGTGATGCAACCGTGGTTATGTTATATCTCCCCCCTTGAAGTGTTTTTTTTTTTTTAATCAAGTAGTGTTAATGGCTAACAAATCGGGATCCATTATTTGCTTCGTGAAATTTTTATTCTTGATATGATTATTTGAGGAGTTTTGAAATCATTGATGCCTGATGAAGTGTCAAAGAGGTTCTTCTCATTTGTTCATCTAAAGGAGGGGGGCGGGGGGGAGATAGAGGGAAGTCATAGTAAAAGGCTGATTTGTTTCTCAGTATTTTCTCTTTGGCAGGTGAAATGCTATATGAAGCAATTACTCTCTGGCCTTGAGCATTGCCACAGCAAAGGTGTCTTGCATCGTGATATCAAGGGTTCCAATCTGCTTATTGATGATGAAGGAATCCTTAAAATTGCAGATTTTGGACTGGCAGCTTTCTATGATCCTGAGCACAAGCAGCCCATGACAAGTAGAGTTGTTACGCTTTGGTATCGTGCTCCTGAGCTTCTTCTTGGGGCTACATACTACGGTGTTGGTATTGACCTTTGGAGTGCTGGCTGCATCTTGGGAGAGTTGCTTAATGGGAAGCCAATCATGCCTGGTCGAACAGAGGTCTTGCTTTTCGTATTGATCCTGTTTTCTAGCTTTTAATACTATCATATCTATTGCCTTCTAAACTGCCTTTAAATATGTTATGTGTATAGTGCCAGTTTGATACCCATTTTATCTTATCATTTTGTTCTATTGTGTGTGTCTGGGGAGAAGGTTGACTTCTTACTGTTTTATTTGATACTTTTTAGTTGGTGGGAAAGCTATGGGCTCATGTTGAGCTGTTTCATCAACCTGATTAGTTATTTTCTTGATGTCATTGAGTTGTCATTTTAATGGATTAGATGAGATTCATCAAACGTAAGATGACTAGATTAAAGACCAAGACAATAGAAGGAAAAAGTTAACTGAAGCTGAGAACCTTTTTAAATATTTTTGGAGAGTGAACTGCAAATTAGTTTATGAATGTTTTCACTGTAAACACTGTACCCACTAGTGGCTTGTGTATGGCTAAGTTTCTATAACTCCTGAATGTAAACTTTGATATTTCTGTTTTACAATTAATTAGCAAATCATTTCTGCAATCAATTCATTATCATGTACTTTTTGCTCTTCAATTGCATTTTTCAGGTTGACGTTTGACTGATTTTGAATCTTTTTTCTTGATAGGTTGAACAACTGCACAAAATATTTAAATTATGTGGCTCTCCATCTGAAGATTACTGGAAGAAATTTAAATTGCCAAATGCTACGCTCTTCAGGCCACAGCAGCCATATAAACGATGCATTTTGGAAACCTTCAAGGATTTCCCTCCTTCTTCCGTACATCTAATATCTACTCTTCTTTCAATAGATCCTGATGATCGTGGCCGTGCCTTGGCTGCTCTAAATAGTGATGTGAGTGGTGACTGTGGGATTAACTTTATGTTTGAGATGTAATACATTTACAAGCTTTTTCTCTCTGCAGTTTTTTACCACCGAGCCCTATGCTTGTGAACCATCAAGTTTGCCAAAGTATCCTCCCAGCAAAGAATTGGATATAAAACTGAGAGATGAAGAAGCTAGAAGGTTCAAATTCTTTTCTTGTGTTTGATAACTTCTGGTACTGATTTCGTCTAGGTGCTGACAATGATAGGATTTGTTTCACTTTCAGACAAAAAGCTCTAAATGGGAAACATAATGCTATTGATGGTGCCAAAAGAGTCAGAGTACGTGATCGTGGTCGGGCAATTCCAGCCCCAGAAGCCAATGCAGAGATCCAATCAAACTTAGATGTACGTTAGATGTGTTCATTATTATTTTATTTTTGAGTTTCCCTTAAACTGGCCTCAGCTCACTTAGATATGCAGTTATGAAGTTTTTAAGTCCTCTGCCTTCAACCAGTAACTCATGCCTATGCCGTATGCTTTTATGATTGCGGGCCCGGGCTTCCCTTTGACTGCATTGATTTTCGTGAATCCTTGTCTTTCTGGGCAATCAATTATAATACTGATCAAGATGTTAGACACAGTTTCTTCAGCATGCTTTGGATTCTCTGATCTTAGGTTAGCCTGACAGTTTAAATGTATATTGTTTTCAACGAGTCTTTATTTTATTTCAACCTAAGTCATAAAACTTCGCGAGTCACGTTATTTTATCGGATCACTCATGGTAAATTGAGCTTTGGACTTGAGCATATTTTCCAATTTGCTGCCTGGAACAACATCACATGTCACGTGTTTCTCACTGAATTGCAGAGGTGGAGAGTGGTGACACATGCAAACGCAAAAAGCAAGAGTGAGAAATTCCCACCACCTCATCAAGATGGGGCCGTTGGATATCCATTGGGTGCATCTCACAAGGGACCTGTCTCATTTGGTGCCACTGAAACGGATGCTTCCTTTAGCTCCGCAATATTTAATTCAAAACCTGCAGGACCTTGCAGGGGTAAGAAGACAAAGAAAACAGATTCATCATGGAAACTCATGCGTCCATTCAAATAATCAATTCATCAAGTAGGCCTGTAAATGGATTTTTTGTTACTTTTGGGGCAAATAAGTCTCTGCCGTTCTTGGCATTTCGAGGTGGGGCCTGAATTCTTTTCCCCCACTTTCATATTGCTACCATTTTAATTTTGTTTTTGGTTCATTTGATATATATAGTTTTTGCTGTATAATGTACGACGGGATCCTTAGTTTTGTATATTTAGGTTAGGATGGAATCATGGAATCCCTTTGCTGTACAGTTCCCAGGAACTGCCTCATCTCCGTTTTGACCCGCCAGTGTTCTTGAAGTTGGAAAGCAGCCCCCCCCCCCCCCCACCCCCAAAAAAAAGTAAGCAATAAATTTATTTCCATTTGTCATTTTTGATATTTTCAACTTAGAAGTCTCCTGTTCCATGCAAGATTAACGATAAGCACCAATTTACATGCAAGATTTTTAAACCGTAAATTGTTTTGAAAAAGTTAAATGATGAATTCATCTTTTAGGAGGGATAGTTACAAAATTATTGTTATTTTATATTACATTTATATTAAAATAGAACTTATTTAAAATATAAAAATCGAACTTGACATATTTACTCACCCTCAACCAAGTAGCCTCTCATTTTTACAAAATTTGATTCTTAGAAGTGCCTGTTTGATTTCTGTTCTCAAAATCTGTTTTTTTATTTTTAAAAAAAAAAAAACTTATTTAGATAAGTATTTTAGATTTAATTATTTTAAAAATGTTTTCATTTTTTGTTTTTAAAAACAAAAAAAACATGTTAAATATGTTTTCATTTTATTTTTCTTGCTTTAAAATATATTGTTGGTTTAATCAATTTTTATCATAAACAATCACTATGAATCACCTGCAATTATCGCTATTAATATATATTTTCTTTTGTTAATTGCTTTTGAATTAATATAATTAAATATATTTTCGTTTTTTATTTTTAAAAATAATTCCAAAAATTTAATTACAAAACAGTTCTTAAAAACACAAAATGAGAAAAGGTCCTTAATTTTTTTTTTTTTAAGTTTTAACTTCTCAAAAAATTATGCTTTACATTTTTCTCATAACTAATAAGAAAGTAATACGCTTGCACCCGCTTTTACTTTCCTAATATTAATGATATTTGATATAACATTTTTGTGTTATTAATTTTATTTCCAGTTTACATCTGGAAAATTAAGAAAGTAATACACGAGTGGTGGGATTTTTATAAATTTTATATTATAAAATAATAATAATTTGTATTAGGCATAGTTTATAAATATTATGTTGTACAAATGCACTCCTTCTAGTTTCATTTTTAATAAAGTTGGAGGAGAATGGTTTTTCTTATCTTATTTATAAGTTACATTATTAAATTTTTATTATACAATTTTTTTTTTTACTCTCATTAAATATTTGTTATAGGAAGTACTCTATATTACTAAAGTATGTATTTTTTATGAATTAAAATATGTATATTTAATATGAATAAAATCATAAACTTATTAAATTTTTAGATAGAATTAATAAGTTAAAGTTTTGTTAGTTTTAGTGAAATATATTAAAAGTGACTTACAAATAAGATTAAATGAAATATTTATTTCTTTTTATACAAATGCATTTGGAAAGAATTACAATCTAGTTTTAAATAAAAAAATTAATTATTTCTTCAGTGTATTTATAAATCAAATATTTTTTTATATTTTAAATTCCAATATATAAATTATTAATTTTTTATTTGAACCAATATATAATTCTCCTGATGCATTAACATTGCCCCCGTCAAGTTACGTAATACGTAGGCTGCTAAAGAAGGCATTTCCTTTTTTTTTTTTGGACCAACAAAGAAGGTGCTTCCTTAAACAAAATGTCGTTATCTGTCCCCTTGGGTGATGTTTGGGGTGAGGTAGCGCCCGGGGGGGTGGAGTGGGAATGAGATTGGCTTTTTTTCCATATTTGGTACATGTCAATCCCATTCCTAAGGAGAGCTCTATTTCCTCAAATGAGGGAATGGCCAAACCTACCTTACACCATGGAAATGGATTTTTTATGACAAAACCATCCTTCTTTAATAGTTTTTTAGACAAAAACATCTCTTTAGTTTTTGCTCTCCCCTTTCCTCCTCTTGAATTTTCTTTTAAAATTCCCACTCTCATTCATTCGTCGACTCTCTTTAATCTTCTTCATCTTAAATTTTATAGTTGTCGACCTATCATAGTTGACTCCCTTTGATCTACATCCTCAGTCATCCAATCTCACATATCTGCCTAAACTTAATCTTGTAGAGTCCATCCACCGTCCAATCTCTCTTTCAAATATCATAGGTCAAGTCATCTAGATCGTTTCATTAACCAACAAATGGGTGGGTGACCCTTCTTGCTTGCTTGGCCATCAAAGAAAGGATAGATGTGAATTGGTTTCAATATTAGAGTTGCTAGTTGATTGAATTTGGAGAGAAGTGAAATCGTCAATCTCATTCTGACACTCATCTCAACTTTATCGTCGAGCCCCCCTCTTATCATTCTCATCTTTACTATTCAGCTTCAATTTTCATTTGAGGAGGAAGCTTCATCATTCTTATCATCCTCTTCTTCCTTTATTGTTGGATTTCCTCAAATTTGATTTAGGGTTATGTTTATTGTCTTCTGCTGACTACAAAAAGTCTAGAACCTTCTTCATAATGACAAGGGAAGTGAAAGAGAGAGGAGACTTGGAAGTAGGGGTGTTCATGGGACGAGACGAGTTCAAGATACCCCTGTCTCATGTCCCATCCTGAAAAGAGATTGAAACTGAATTTTTATCTTGTGTCCCGTCCCATCCTATTAGTAGAGTTGGTAAACGGGCGGGCTTAGCCCATATGGGCTCGGCCCTTATGGGCCCAGGCCCTAAAGCTCGGTTACCCCAATTTTATCCTAAAATTAAAGCCCGGCCCTTATTCATAGGGTTCAAGGTCGGGTCCGTAAATTCGGATAAGAATAAAATAAAATTTAACATTAAAATTTATTTAGAATATTTTAAAATTTAACATATATCAAACCAAAGTCTCATATAATCTAAAAAATGAACAAAAATTTAAAAGTCTAAATAAGATGAAGGCAAACATCATCATCAATCCTAATCAAAATCTCCCACATTGTCATCTATAAATAAAATATTAAAACTCAGATGTAGGTCCACTTGTGAAAGATGGAGGCGGAGACTCAATATTAATTATTTCTGCAGCTTCTTCATCATCACCTACAATAATTATTAATTAAATTATTTTATTATCAAATATATATCTATACATATATCACAAGATAAAATATAAAAATTACTATAACATGTGACAAAACAATTCAACCAATTGCTGGTACAAACTACAAATCAATATTTGTACATTATCTGGAAAGAGGTGAAAACAATACTTTGTGAATAGTAAAACGGGTTTCACGGGCCGCTCAGGCCCGAGCCCGTTTTTCTAGGGCTTAAAAAGGTCAGGCTTCAAAGCCCAATTACCCTAAAAAATGCCAAATTTTTAAGCCCAAACCTTTATTAAAACGGGCTTAAACGGGCGGCCCATCAAGCCCGACCCTTATTCCTGACTCTACCTATTAGGAATCGGGATGGGATCGGGATGAGATCAGGAAGTCCCATCATCTCGATAAATCAAATAATAATATAAAAAAAATTAAATAATAACATTTATTAAAATTTTAAATTATATAATTTATTAAGTTTAAAATTAAAACAATACAAGTATATAAATCACAACAATTTAAAGTCAATTATTGAATTACATTAATCACAACTACACATTATAATAGTAAATACAAATAATCTCTAGGCTATAAGAGTAGCAACAACTGACAACCCAAGCACAACATCAAATTATTGTTCTTTTACTTTAGTTAAGATGTGCTAAACTAATTATTTTTTAAAAAATAAAGCAAGAAATATGATATACATAAAAGTTATTAAATAGATAGATATAAGAATAAATTATATTAATATAATTTATATATTATACAAAAAGATATCATCTTGTTTACTCTATGTCAATGAAATTATTAATATAAAAAACTTTATTTTTATATAAGTATTGAAACTATAATTAATATAAGTGTAAATTATATTAATATAGTTAATACTTAATGTATATTTTTAAAATAATAAATAACATATATAATATTCGAGATGGGACAGGACGTCTTGGTAGTAATCCTCTATCCCATCTCATCCCGTTTCGAACTCTTTTCTTATCCCGTCTCTCAAAATCTCATTTTGATATCATCGGGACGATATTGAGCTAATCGAAAAGGATACAAGTTGAATACCCCTGGCTAAAAGGAGACATGGGTTCTTTTTTTTTTTCTTTTTCTTTTTTCCATTTAACAATGAAAGCGCATTATGGTATTTTGGCAATATAATTATAGATATCAAATAAAATAATATCATTATTTCATTGATATATCAAACATATTTTTAAATTTCATTTTCACCCTCATTTCTACTCCCACTTCATCATTCTTAATCCCACTTGATCAAAAATCCTTCCACATACCTTCCATAAAAAAAAAATGACTCCACATACCAAACAAGGCCTTAAGTCTTTTGATTGTGATTTATTTATTAGGTTAAATTTCATTTTTGCTCTTGATTTATATCTTTAGAGCATTTAGTATCCTATACTTTATTTTGGTCCAAATAACCTCTTAAACTATCAAAAATAAATCATCTAATATCCTACCATTAAATGATGCTAACAGATGTTAAGTTTGCATAATTGATAGCCTATATCTCAGCCATGTGTCATTGGGTTGACTGTTTGTCACACATGGCATACATGTGGCATGCCACATCCGTTATTCTTAGTATGAAAACTTGAATGTCCATATTCTCTGTAAACATTTGCCTAATCTCTTTTTATTCTTTGATGGAGTTTATCTTAAGCCATACATCGCATTCAACAACCACTTGCAGAACAAAGTGAAACCAATCAAAAAAACAAATTGAAAACCCATAAATTAAAGGTAGAACAAAATGAAACCAATGCAAAAATTGAAAACAAAAGGCAAAATCACTTGCACAAATTGGACCCAAATAAAAAGCCAAGAAACTCATAAATCTATAAAGGAACCCAAATCTCTGAAAGAATGAGAGGAATATAGAAACTCACTCAATCGAACATAGAAAACACAACATTATATTTAATCAAAACTAAAAATCAAGCCATATTTAAATAATCAAAATTGAAAATAGAACTAATTGAAGGCACGTCATAGTCAAGCTTCTTAAAAGTCAAGACTCGTGGATAAATCAAATCCAAAACCA